TTTTAAAGTACTTCTTCAACCCGAAATAATGTTTAGAAACACTATACAATTAAAAAAAGAAATATACCCAATTGAGAAAATCAATAACGCACTAAGATAATATTGTTAAATTGTTGTTGATACCCTTAGTATTTATATTTTTACTATTAAATCCGAAATCTTAATTTAACAAAGCTCATCATTTTGTTGAAAAAAAACTGTATACAATAACCAATTTGTTTCGAAATTACCCAACAAGTATTTAGATACTCCAACATAAAAATAAAAATACTATTTATCCATAAAATGAAKTTATAATACAGTTTTTACTATCCAAATGACAAAATATAATAGCAATATTAATAACATGGTTCCTACTCGTCTACGAAACATTTCAGAACGTGCCCACTTGTACGCTAAATCGCGTTCGTAATACTTAGTATTCAAAAACAACCATAATCATAATAAAAGTAATACCTATTTATTTATTGAAAACTCTATTCAAAATGTATGTTTTACACGTATTATTACAACACATTGTCCTGTGTTTAATTACAACGGATCCTTGAATACGAATCGTGATTTTCGACGTCCATTAATCGGGATATGGGTTGGTCAAAAACCGAATCATTATAATATCATCAATATACATCCATCAGTGGCTGCAGTGCAATAAAGAGGTAGGTAAAAGGACCTTCTGACCTGTTACCTATTGGATGAAAAACATTTGTTTGGAATGAATTAATAATAGCCAATATTATTATAGGGATCATAATATTATGTTTGATTGTATCGATAGGAAACTTAAAAGTAGGTCATTGTTGGAATAGATTAAATCCGACTTGAAAGTCATTGTCTCGACAAAATTATCTCAAATCATTTGCAATATAATTGTTCTGCGGACATTACACTGAAATGCAGTCGGAAAATATGTTTAGGATGTTTTATCCATTCCCCATTAGAATCGAAATGAAGGTGCCCGGAATGAAACTGAAATATAATATGCATAACGTTTGTTGAAAAAAACAAAACAATTCTAAATTCACGTCATCTTTTTATCTGAGAGCTGGGAAAATTCACAATGGAGCGAAGGCCCTTAAAAAAATATATATGTAGGTAAAGCCAATTATTGTAGATGACTGTTGTTTTACAACGTAGTAATATATCACCTAAATTCTAAGTCAAGGGAAAAATGAACACCGTGAAACTAAAATGTACATCAAATGTATTTTGTCGTCAGTATTTAATATTGATAATTAAATTTATATTTAAATAATAATATTGTGAGATAATTCTGTTTATTTTGTTACATTCACAAAAGGTTTTTTTATTTTTTATGTCATACATTAGGAAATAAATAATTTAATATCATAAAATATTATGTTTTCTAATTATTTTTTAATTGAATTATTTGAAAAAATATATTTTATACAATATTATACCAATTGCTTTGATTTTAACTTTATTTTAGAGTAGTATCTACGTGCAATCCTCAATTTAAAATTCTAACACAGTTACTGTTGAATTTTACCAATTTTTTTTTATCATTATCTATTAAAAATAATCTAATAGTTTCAATAATTTTAGTTATTAGTATTTTAATATTTAAATATTTAAATATAAATGGTTAATATAATTTATAATATGATTATAAAATCAATTGTTGACATTTACAGTGTTAACAATGTTATTATAATATTTATGTTGGTGATAATAGAGACGAATAATCGTATAATAAGTGTATTCATTCATAATAAATTAATAATTATTCATTCAATACCTACCAACCTGCTTATATGGTTATATTACGAATGCATTAAAAAAAAAATCAATAGCCGAAAAATCTGTAAACTATTGCAACATATCGAACACRACTCGTGTTCAAATATAATCACAATTTTGATTTATGTGATTTGAAAATAAACGTGCATTTATTTAAAACTAAACCTAGATCGTTAGCGCGATCGAATAAAATAATAATAATACAATAATACATAATAATAATATCGCAGCGTGTCAAATGGTTACCGTCAATCAATCGATTTATGCATACACACTCACACACGTGCGTTTTATAAATGGTTATTAAGCGGCGAAAACTTACTATATCATTTTTTAAATATTACATAATGCGAATGTTCATTAAAAAGACATGAACCGGTATTAGCGGGCGTCTGG